AACGTGACCAATGCCGTTTCCGTGCTGTATCCCGGCCTGAAGCCCGACTGGAGAGGGTCCAGATAGACTGTTTCCTCCAGGTGCCGAGGGAATTGCTGTGCAACCACACTCTCAACAACCTTCGCCACAAAGCGAAGGTTGGAGACTGGGCGATAGTTAGCCAATACATCTGGATCCAGGGAAGGCTTCTTCAGGAGGGCCTCACCACCACCTCCTTTAGGACCGCGGGGAAGGCACCCTCCCGTAAAGAAGCGTTTATAATTCCCTGGAGCCAGGCTCGTGTACCCTCCCGAGCCGCCAATACCAGCCAGGAGGGACACAGATCCAATAAACATGTGGTTGCATTCAGCCTCCCCAGGATCCTGTCCACATCCTCGGGAGCCACATATGTTACTCTGATCTCCTGAAAAAAGGTAGAATGCCAATATAATAAATACTTATTCTAAGTTACAGTATAAATTGCATGATCCAATAGGAAATCTTCTAGGGACAAGTTAGGAAAGTATACCAGGCAACAATTTATGTCAATACACCATATGTACCTCCTGGTTGGTGGAATGACAGTAACAGCATGTTGGTTTGCAAGGTAGCCTTTAACTTAGAGAATCTAACTCATATAAACAAGCATAGGCATATTTGGGTTTAACCAACTTTAAAAAAGATAAGGCTATGAATAGTTGCTATTCAGAACACTTACATATTGCCTGCAGAAACAGACCCCATCATTTTGATATCACTTTCAGGAGAACATGAGTGAAAATGTTCATTTCATTCAGGTTCTGTTGGCACACTGGTATCTTGTTGGTCATGGTGGAACAGAAACATGCTAGAAACATTCAAAGTCTTTAATCTAATTCAGCATAGTTCTTTTAATGCTCTTATTGTGTAACTTTGTAGACCAAGAATAGACAAGATATGGTCTTCCACTGCAATTCCCAGGCACTTCAATCAGCATGCTAACTATCAAGAATATTAGGAATTATAATAAAATAACAGTTTCAGAGGCACATAATGCCCACACATCTAAGTGCTGGAAAAAATAAAAATAAAATAAAGCTAACAGATAACCAATGTAATGATAGCATTATAAAGATTACCAATAGACTGTGGGACAAAGTAGAATTGAGACAGAAACCTTGAAAACATATTTGTACATCTTTATCTTTCATATAGTATTTTCCAATGTATTGAGCACTCTTTTAATTAGTCATCTTCTTTTGTTTTTCATGAGAAATCTGAGAATTTTGGCCATAGGTGGAGTAGAAAGCTGATATATTTAAAGGGAGCCAGATATTAGCTTTTTCAAAAAATACATATTGTATGGACCACTGCAAAAAACATGAACCTGAGAATGTGGAAGAAAGGATATCTTAGTAACAGAATGAGCTTAATAAAATTATACTCATAATCAAAGATGGATTACCATCTGCTGGTTTGTAGATTTAAGTAAAGTCTTACTTTTCAAATATTTTCCTCAGAACATCTATCACTATTGTCATTATTATTTTCCTACTCAGCATTTTTAATGTAAAGTAGCTAACAACAGTTAATAAAAATAAACAATAAAGATAAGCACTCTAGAGCAAGTAAAAGAGAAAACAGAACATACATTTTCCAAAGAAGCAGTGGAAAAAAGTTAAACCCTCTGTTCCCCTCAAATATATACATACATAGTCATACAGTACATGTCAGTCAGCAACAGAAGAAACATATATAAGAGAACAGACACATTTTTAAAAGAAAATATTCCATAATATTGGTATATCAATTGAAAAGTTCTATCCATTTGACTTACCCTGACAACCCACAATGGACAACACTGTATCAGGATCTCTAATAGGAAACTTATAGTCTTTAAGCTATATAAGTTTCCAGAAGTGTTTTAAAGTAAGAACCAATATTCTAAAGGATAGCAGAGAAAAAAACCAAACCCTTAATATATTGTGATTATGTGGTATGTAATAAATGTGTTTTATCAGCCATCCTTAGAGAATACTCAAGCTACATTGTTTTTGATCCTCTAACATTTCAGGTCAGGCTTTACAGGGTCAGTCCCTCCATGCTGAATCTGGACATGGCTAATACATAACTGATCATAGCCAATCAAAATAATACATTTTAAAAGGGGACACAGCTGGTGTACTAGCCAGAGCTGGTTATAATGTATTCCTTAGTCTTTCCTTTGCCAGTAAATCTGCAAACAACATTGAATCAAGGATCAAATATCTTAAGAGAGAATGAAACTTGATCTAATGAAAGCTGTATATTTATCCATGAGCGACAATGTACAGTATTTTCATCTTCTGTTTCATTGTACTATTATATTTAGATTTTTTTATAAAAAACACGCCTTTTAAATTTGCTAATGGGACTAAGAAAAGGAGACACAGAATCTCATAAGGCTAATCAAAGGGTTGGTGACACTTACACAAGAGTCAGTAGCAGACGATAACATTTAACTTTGCTACACATCAATTTTTACCTAATTCCACAGCAGGCTTAAATTCTTTTTCTAGCCATCACCAGAACCTGGGGGGGGGACTTTTGGGGAAACTTTTTCATGAAATATTTGTTGTTGTTAGGAAAATCTAAGTACTTCTTCTACTATTAACTATTTTCTTTCCCTTAATTATTATTTTTTACTTCTGAGTTACATTATCATAATAAATACAATGTAGTAAAATGTGTACTAAGATAGTGCTATTCTCTGCTATGAAAGCAGTTAAAAGTATAAAATATTTTTTTTAAATTTGAATTGTAGCAAAATGTTTTATGTATTCCAATATCACTGAACTGAATTATTTCAATATGTGCTTTCCCAATATTTTAAATAAATATAACTTAAGATATACACTAATGTTTTTTTCAGAATAAAATAAAATAGGCAAGTTATTAGAACTTTAGGTTGTTGTTTATACATATTTAAGTAGAAATAACTCCATTAAAATTAGTGGAATAGGCAGTTCTTACAGAGGAATAATGACTAGAGGGACAAGAAGAACAATTGAGTGATTCTGACTCCTAGTACTTATCCCATCCCATCTAAAAGATTCCCTACTCTAAAATAAATTTGGTTAAGGATCAGAAACTTCACTGAGAAAGAAAAAAATACCACAAGTAGTTTTCTTTTCCAGGCAGAAAAACAATGGCTTGATCTCTTATTAAAAATCATTGTTAGTTAAATAAGAAAAAAACCTGCCTTATTTTAATTCACATGTAATGTGTCATTAAGAATCATGGAGACACAGAAATTTAAACTTTGTTATTAAACTTCAGACTCTTAAGGTCACAAATCATTTAAGGTCTCAAAAGGTACATATAATACATCAATCACCTGCCTTTCTTTACTTAATAACCATTAATGGGTTGACTTCTTTAGCATGTTTCCTTTCCACAAAATATACCTTTATAAGTTTTCAGACAAATTTTGAAATGTAATGTATACTTTTGGAGCACAGAGTCTATCGACAACAACAACTAGTATAACTATTATTTATATAAATGTTAAGTAATAGAAAAAATAATAATTTAATCCAGCTTTATAACAGACTGTGCATTGTGTTTCTTGAAATATTTTAAATTTCTGAATATTCTATTTATTTTTGAAAATTGTGCACGTAAAGGAGAAAGAACATTTATTTCTACTTGTATTATTTCCAGTCCTGGGAGATATAGTATTTTATATAATGAGTATATAAAATAAGAATTAAACAAAGTAAAATGCATAGTGATATTATTTTCTAAACCAGTTTAGACTCACTATTAATAATTTAAAGTTGTACCTTAAGGGTGTACAGTGCAATTAATAGATTGTTTTTATGCATATCCCATTTCCCCTTACACACACACACACACACACACACGGAAAATTGTTCCTTGTTGTTAGTAAAATAAAACTTCTAATACAATTTTTGTTTCAAATAAGTGATAAAAACTTATCCAATGCTAAAGACCTATTGAAATCACTGCAACTTGATTTGAAGTAGACATGTATATGCTTATGTACACGACAAAATAAAAGTGGAGTACAATTAAACTGCTAACCAAGTTAACTATATGCTAGCAATCTTCATTAGAGGGGAGAGTGGCTTTTTATGCAAACCTTTCACATCAATACAAGCACTAGAACTCTGTCTGTAATGACATCTGCAAGCCCAAGTAACAGATGCGTCTAAGCAACTGAAGTTCCTTTTCAGCACCTGAGACAGCACTCTAAAAACTGGCTATATTCCCTTCAGTAGCTTCAGCATGCAGTCCATTCTGCTGCCATCCAAAAGCTAACTGCATATGGCACACCCAAGCCAGCCATTACACTTGATTTTGCTGCATTATAACTTCCCAAATCAAGAAAAGGTCTGTCTCAACAGAGGAAATGTAGCATCTAAAACTATCAAGGGAATAGTACACTAGATTGCAGTCAAGGGACCAGTAAGCCTCATGTTATCTATTGACCTGGTTTGCTTTAAACCCATGCACAAACTTTCCAGCCACTGAAGGAGATACAATGGAGGTATTTTGCTAAAAGCTCTTTATCTCTCTACCAAAAGGGCCCCTTGTTCAATCTGTTTCAGCCCCCACAAATAATAAAAAAAGCATTCCACAAGCTACCAAAACAAAATTCAAAATCAGATAAAAATCCATCCATTTGAGGCAACACTCTCATTTTCAGATGGAAATAATTAGAGGTCTACTCACCATGTTGACTTCAGAGACCATGTCGATACTGGCAATATCTATGTTCATCCCGACATTCACTGGTGGGCCTTAATGAAAAAACAGACGGAGGCGTCATTTTGACATACAGTTGCCTGGCGCCCAGGGGTTGGGGGGGCTTTCGTCTTCCTCGGCAGAACCCCCACCCCCAACCCATTTAAGTCATACCAAGAACGCCTAAGGGAGGGTTAGGGGAGCCTCCCCAGGGCCTCTCACCTCCAAAATCCGGTCTGAGGCGAATGTCGTAGCCTTTCAACAATTTATCCACAGTTTCTTTCACGAAGGACATGTTCCCAGGATCGTTCACACTGTGGAAGAAGGAGTTTGAGGGAAAGCGGGCAGGGAGGCAGGAGAGGCGGACATGAGCGAGGGCATCAGAGAAGTCGGAAGAGATGGCAGAGGGATAAGGAAAGTGAAGTAACGGGATGGGCCGGCCGGGACAACAAAAGGCGAGGAAAAAGAAGTCGAAAGGAGGCAGAGGCGGCAAAGCAGGAGGAGTGAGGAAGGGGCAGAGGTTGTAGGAAAGCTTTGGTCAGTTCTTTTCCTCAGCGAGGCGCAGCCTTCCTTGCCGCGTCCTCTCCCTCCTCCCCGCCAGCCGCTGCTCCTACCTCTGGGCGCAACAGACCACGGCCACCAGGACGGGAGCGGAGAAGAAGCCGAAGAGCCTGCCTCCCCCAAAGCCCCACATCCCTCCTCTCCGGGCTCCCTTGCCGCCGCCGCCGCCGCCGCCGCGTGCGGTTCCGGCTGCCCGAGAGCCGCTGAGGAAGAGGCGGAGGCGAGCGTCCCCTTTCCCCTCCTTCGGCACGTCCCCCCTGCCGGTAGCGCCGCGAAGCTCCTGGGGAAAAGCTGAGGAAGGCTTCTCCTCCCCCTTCTCCCCGCGCGCGCGCGCGCCTGCTCGAACAGGACCCCACCCGGCCGCCTGCCGCGCCGCGCAGCGCCGCGGCTCAGATCTGCTGTTCAAGGCACCGGCGAGATGCGGCTGCGGGGCTCCGAGGGGTTCCTCCTCGTCCTTCTCCTTTTCCCCCAAGGAGAGTTCTGCCGGCCGGTGACGGCATCCATGGGTTGCCACGGAGGCACCCACGAGACGTTTCGCCCGGATGCTTTGTCCCGATTGCGCCCACCTCCATCTCTCAAGCGGGAATCGCCACCAGCCTTCCCCGCCCTCACGGCCCCTCGCCGGCGTCGCTTTGCTGCCTCCACTGAGGCGGCAGTTGGCGACGAAGCCAATCTATGGGCGCTGGAGAGCGAAGCCGGCGTTAAGCGAGCCGCGGCCGTGGGAAACAAAAGCCACAGGTGAAACTGTTCCTAAGCCTTGAGAGTGGAAGAGGGCCGGTACCTCTCGCTCCCGTCGGGGCGGGGGGGGGACTGGGTGCGGGGCAGAAGAGACCTGGCTAACCCTGGCCTGCTGTGCTGACTCCGAGCAATCCAGGGCATCTTGTAAGTCCCGCTGAAGTTCTTAGTTCACGGACTAGACTACCTGCTCTTGCTCTTTCTTTCTTTTTTTAAATATATATTTATTATGTTTTATCAATGGAATAAAATGCAAAACAGGAAAAACAGAATAAAATAGACGTTCAACAGTAACATCAACAACAAAAAATGTGGACAAAAAAGCAAAAGAAAAAAAAATGATCCAAACATCAAATAAGTACATTAAACATAAAAAAAAATCCACCATGGCTGGATCCTGAAAAATAATAATTAAAAACTGATAAATTTTCCTTCCCTTACATAATGAGTCTGCAAATAGTTATAAACTTGCTCTTTCTAATAAACTTTATCATCTGTGATTTCTTTCCATGTCCCTAATAAACTATGTATTAACATCTGTTGTGATTTCTTCATTCCTAACAGGTATGTGCTTATCTTATTTTTTGCAGCTCAATCACTTCACAAAATACCCACCACAAATCAGCAATCACTCTTGGTTTCTAAATCCCAGAGTTTTTTCTTTCCTCCACCTTCCAGGAATGATGTTGGCAGCATCCAGTCAACATCTGGATACTGTATGGAGCTGATTCTCTTAAAGGTGACCTAGTCCTAGAGTACTATTGAATTGCAGCACTGTGACTGTTTCCTAAGGGTAAAAACTCTCTTAGTGGACTAGTCCCAGGGCATTAGCTGCTCTGGCAGGTAGCTTGATGACTTTGCAGCTCCTCTTTATAGGAATGGTTTGGAATTTATTAGTAGTAGTCAAATGAAATATACTTGAATAGAAATATATATACAGGAGGGATTGGGAAATATAAGCAATTTATTTTATTTCCTTTTGGTGCTAAGTGAGGAAGAGATGAAATTCTTTTGTTTCTCTCTAAGAGCTGAAGTAGCTAAGAGCAGGCCAATTATGCTTTGCATTTTGTTCCTTGTATTACGTTAAATGTAATCACAAATTATTTTCCAACTTTTTTTGGGATTTGGGGAAAAGAAATAGCTAGAAGCACAGAGATGTCATATCAACCTAGCAGCAACACCCGAATTCTAGAAACAGCAAAACCTAGACACAAACACTTATGTACTTCCTGATTAAGCGCCAGCTCTTTCTTCTGCCTTACTAAAAGAGTTTAGAAATTTCTTACAATTTCTTATTTCTTATAGCCTCTGACAAAAACTCTGCTCCTCCATGCCCTTATCTTTAATTAACCTTCTAGTTATTTAGGAAGCTATCTTTTCTAAATCTCCTGAAAAGTTTTAAACTTAACTTTTCTTTTGGCACAACATCTAATTTTGAGAAGTAAATTAAAATGAATTGCCAGTGAAGTCCTTTTCATGAATTATGAGTGGAAGGATGCTATTCCTGCACTGAACTAAATATCAACCATAGGAAGTCTATTGATGTCTCTATGCAGGTTTTCTCCAGAGATCTCCATGCTCTGTGACTAAGTGGCAGAAATGGAAAGACACATGACTTTGGAGTAATGTCTTATGGCCTATTTATTCATATGAAGCTTTTTTAAAAGGATACAATTCATGAAGGAGATTTTTGAAATGGAGGAACACATTCTGGGTGATGTGCTATCATGATTGGAAATGCAGACCTGGACACGTAATTGTCTACAACTAAATCTAGTTGGAAAATCATGTATCAGAACAAAAATTATTATTGGCAGCATTCTATATTTATTTATTTATTTAAAATATTTATGTAGCTGCACATCTTATATTGAACTCTGGGCAGCTTCCAAAGAGCAGTTAAAAGAATATTGATATACCATTAATACATACATATATCTATTAAAACCACAAACATTAAAACCTGGCACCAAAATTAAACTTTCACATGCGGACATAAGTCCTCTGTCAATCTCACCTTATCCCAGTGCGTGAGGAAAAAGATAAGTGCTTTTCATAAAGGGGAGGCTAGGAAGGTAGATTTACACTTTAGTCTAAAGATTAGAATCATGAGTATGTTCAGGGCTAAGAGATAGAGAAAATGAATATCACACTGGATAATTCATGGAATATTCATCAACTCAAAGATAACTTAAGATACAGTATTTGGCCACTCAAATACAAAATACTCAAGCATTTCTTTCTCAGTGACAGCCCAGACAAAGAGCTTATCTGTATGGTTTAGGCTCAGTTCAGAATTGACTATCTTGGCTTCACTGATGCAATCATCCACATATTGTACATCTAGAAAAGTGTGTATTAGAAATGGGGCTAGGGCAGAAAAAGATAGACAAAAAAAATAAATAAGGAAAACAGGAATGAACAGATATGTGATGCAGAAAAATGGAAAAGGAAAGTTTTCCCCTTTCAGTAGAAATAGGATCATACAATAAAAGCTAAATGGTAGGAGATTCAGGAAACAATAGGATATATTTTTATACATGCTGCATAAGCACTAACTTGTGCTATCACATGTGCAATGAAAAACTATCATCTCATCTTGAGGTTAGCCAAATTCCTAAATATTTATTCTTTTTTGCTACTTGTAATCCCAAATTCTCTTCCAATTTCCTTTTTTGTTTATCAGTTAAATTTTTTGCTAACATTTTAGTCTTTTCTCTATTAATTTTTAGTCCTGCCACTATTCCAATTTTTTCTATTTCACCCATAAGAATATTTCCTCTCTCTATCGGTTCCTCAATGAAGAAAACCAGGTCATCAGCGAATGCTTGTAACTTATATTCCTCTGCTTTGACCTGTACCCCTTTTATTTCTTTATTTGCTCTAATTTGAACTAAAAGTACTTCAAGAGTCAAAATAAAGAGTAGAGGT